TGTTCCTGATTTACAGCATCCGCAGTTCTTTCGGTTTTTACTTGTCTACCATATTCTTTCTAAGTTGTATGGGTTTGCAATCATGTAGATCATTCCATAAACTACAGCAAACAGCCATGCACAATCTAAATTCACATTAAGATGCATACAACACAAAAGAAATTAAAACAGTGGGAGTTATGGATCACTGCCCATTGGACACCACAGCACATTGAAGCAATATTCCCCTTACAGTAGATAGTGACACTTTGAAAATCTTTTTGATATGGTTCATCAGGTTATGCCCGTAGTGTGCACATGGCTTTTTAAGCTGGGGTTTAATGTTTGGGTGGTAACCTTCTGAGTTTCCATTAAAGTTCCAAATATGTCACTTAAGCTCATTACGTTTCCACATAGTCTTTAAAGGCTTTGGCAAGGTTGCAGTCACCTCATAATTACTGGTGAGCTTCAAACATTTCTCCTTTAATGTCTGCACTATGTAGGTACTCGCCCCTAGGCTGTTAGAATTGCTAAAGACTAGTCAATTTTCACTGGGTATACTAGTTTTGGATGCCCAAAGAACAGATTCTGCACGAGTTAAAATTAAGTCAGTAGAGAGTTCAATATTCCAAGTAGCATGACTAAAGGAAAAATTGGAAGGATGTTTTCATGATGTGGAAAAGACAAAGCAGAACTTCTTAGCTATAATACTTTAGAAATAAAACTTTGGAAATATGTTAAGAAAGTGGGGAGAAAATACAATTTTTCCAGAGTCAGCATGCACTATTTTTTTTGGAACTGTGAAAAGTTCATACTTAGGAACTTTTCTATGATGTCGATGTTTCATGCTTTTCAGAACAAGTGGCCAATTTCAGGATATTGACCATCTTCTTGAACCAGCATTAACATGAAGATCATACGTACATTCTCATCAATACATCACAGTAATCTGCCCACTGATATCTATCATTAAATGAGGAGACATCCAATTTTCCATTCAGCAGCTCAAGAGGCTATTAAATGGATAACTAAACCAAACATCCATTATAAACTTTCCCTGTTATACTAAGGCAGTAGTACTGTGAAATATATAAAGTGGTTTCACCAATGGAGTTTAGGTAACTGTCATTTTGATTTGTACATCGAAGATCTTTTCTGCAGGTCAGTCAATCTTTACAAGTTATTTCAGCTCTTCTGTTCTGAAACAAGTCTTGTTAAAGGAAATGAACTAGTTTGAAACAGCAAGGAAGCCTTGGATATCTTTGTGTTTCAGTATAATTTCTTGAATTTCATTGACTGTGCAAACAATCAACAGCCATCAAAAATTTACACGAGCAATTGAAGTAAGAGATTCTTGGGAATATCAGATGTGCCTAGAGAATAATAAGCAGGAAGATCACTGAAGTGCAGAGCTGCAGCTGAAATATCAGTTTTGACTGAATCATCAAAGAAATTCAAACAAGATTTCCTTCTCCAATCTTATATAATATCCCTTTAAAATATGGGGATATGAGGCAGCTTGAGTTCTCTCAAGTCTTTCAACTATTAGTGATTATCTAAATCTTTTTAAGTATTCATTAACTTGGAATTAAAAAAAATACATTTCACAGAATACAGAAGTGAATTTCTGTTTGAAAGATAAACCTATTCAATCATTAAAGGTGGCTTGACTCCAGTTTAAAATTGGTTTTAACATTTTACTGTGACCACTAAAGTGACATAATTTATGGCTACTCTTGTTAGAGCTAGTTGTGTTGCCCAGCGACAAGAATAAGAATTTGTATGTAAGAATTGCTGAAAAAAATCAATACTTTTATTCTCCACTCGTTAATTCACAAGACTATGAATTTAAGAGGAAAATCAACATTTATACCACATAAAAGCATGCTCATTGATTGGCGAGTGACCTCTGATCATTAGAGGTGTTGTTGTCGAAAATGCACATGTTAGTGATGATTGACAGTTAAATGGCAGGCTTTGTTTAAATTTTAAATTATGATTGGCAACCTTGTGAATAGAATCTAAGTTATTTGTTTGTTGTGCCAAGTTTGATGCTGAACTAGAGCACATCAAAGCTTTCCTGCAGGATATGGTGGCTATCTGAATCAGATCATTTCTCACAATATATGGCTCTAAAATGTGCCGAGTCTCCCTCAGATTATCCTGGAAGGGTAAAGTATATTAAAAGTTTGAGCAACAGGTGAAGCTGCTGTGCAGTAGGGGCACAAGTTCACCACTAACAGGATGCAATCATCAACCACAAAAGACATTCTGCCTATCACCCAAATGAGCAGAGTGTTACATGAATTTCAGTGCTGCTGTGATGTCAGTCATCTTGCAAGACAATGTCTGACTTTAAATGTGATTCAGTAATTGAACAACTTTTGCTGCATAATCCTGAGTGTGTGAAGTATCACATTGATAACCAATTTATGATAGTTAGCTCACAGTATGGCACATTTGCTTGAACTGGAAACTATATACATTATAGATTAAAACACGAGGGTCCTGTTTCTTGAAGGCATAAAAAACATGTACATGCACTGTACCTGTTTCAACTTAACAAAATTGGTGACAGCCATTTGCTAGCTCAATTCTCAGGGCAATGCCTTGACTAATCAGAGTTAAGGTGCCTGGTTTAAAATTTAAACAAAACCAGGTGATTAACTGTCAATCATCATTAACTGGTGTATCTTCCACGAAAATCCCTTCATTAATCAGAGTCCATTTGCCAACCAATCAGAAATCTCCCTTTAAACCTTAGCTTTCCCTTTCAATCAGTATTATTGTAAATTTGTTCTAAAAAATGCAAGACAAAAGGTTTTGACCAAATTTCAGTTTTTTTAAGCAGTACTCAATTTCAGTGAAGTATACATTTCACTGCTCCAAAGCCGACATGTCTCATACAGATCATCTGTACTTTTAAATGTTAATCCTAATACTTAAGCTTGAGAGAGTCATGATTTGGAGGTGCCGCTGTTGGACTGGGCTGGACAAAGTCAGAAATCACACAACACCAGGTCATAGTCTGACAGGTTTATTTGAAAACACAAGTTTTCGGAGCATAGCCACCTGACGAAGGGGCTACGCTCTGAAAGCTTGTGTTTTCAAATAAACCTATTGCACTATAACCTGGTGGCGTGTGATTTCTGACCTTGAGCGAGTCTGGATTCAAATATGTAAATGTAATTCTCAATCTCAAAGAAATGTGCTGAAAACCCTCATCCTGCATACAAGGGGTCATCATGGGAACTTAGGAACAGGAGTAGGCTATTCAGCCCCACAAGTGGGATCCACCATTCAATGAAATCATGGCTGATCTATGACTTA